CTGGGGTCCTCAGGACAAGAAAGACACAGACGTGTTGGTGCAGGTCCAGAGGAGGGCCGTGAAGATGATGAGGGGGTTGGAACACCTCCCCTGTGAGGACAGGCTGAGAGAGTTGGGGTTGTTCAGCCTGGAGAAGAAAAGGCCCTAGGGGGACCTTAGAGCTGAGGTACCTTCAGTACCTTCACCTTCAGTGCTGAAAGGGGGCTGCAGGAAGGATGGGGAGGGACTTTTCATCAGGGAGTGTGGTGATAGGATGAAGGGTAATGATTTCAAAATGAAAGAGAATAGATTTACATGAGATCTTAGAAAGAAATTCTTTCCTGTGAGGGTGGTGAGACACTGGACCAGGTTGCCCAGAGCAGCTGTGGCTGCCCCCTCCCTGGCAGTGCTCAAGGCCAGGCTGGATGGGGCTGGGAGCAGCCTGGTCTGGTGGGAGGTGTCCCTGCCCATGGCAAGGGGCATTGGAACTAGATAATATCTAAGGTCCCTTCCAACTCAAACCATTCTGTGATTCTAAAATACCCTTCTTGATGTTTCCTTGCATTGATCTTTGTTCTCATGGTCTCGTCCAAGAGACATTTTCCAAGATTATGCAATTGGAGCTCTCATTAATACGAGAACAGAGTATTTGTAACAATTCAGCTCAGAAAATTGTGTCTTCTCTATGCTTAGATTCTCCCTCCAGGACTCCAGTGTTGGTGGGATCTGATGAGTTCGATAAGTGTCTCAGCAATGACAAGTATTCTCATGAAGAGTACAGTAATGGAGCACTTTCAGTTCTACAATATCCGTATGGTAGGTGGAAGTTCCAGATTTTAAAGTGTTTCAAATAGCCAGATTTGCCCATTTATTATCTGTGAAATTCAATAAATGGCCATTTGTTTGATCTTAAATATGTGGGTTTTTTTAACATTTAAGGAACTAGGAAATTATTGCCCAAACTGGGTTTTCCAAATTGTGGTGTGTGTACAATTAGTGCCACACAAAGCACTTCAGAGCGCCAGAAATTGCTACTGCAGAGGTTTTGGGTGTACTGCCACTGCCACTGATAGTTGGTCTGATAGTTGGAGAAAGCTTGTGATTTTTTTTTTTTTTTTTCTGAATTTGCAAACAATGCTGGAGACTCAGCCTGGTGGTATAAAATTTTCTATATGGAAGATACTCTGGTTTAAAGCTATCAGTGGTCAGACCTTCTGAAGTGGTAAACTTTGATGGGAGACTTACTTGCTGTGGAGTCTGCAACCTTGGTTAACTGAATTTGCTTATGTGCCATTTAAAGTCAGGGGCCTGCAAACAAAAATACCCTGGGTCTGTTGAGGAGGCCTTTTAATGAGAAGAAAAAATTGTTTCGGAATTACCTACAAGTAAATCTATGCCCTCTTTGTGTCTTTTGATACACAGATAACGGTTATTACTTGCCCTATTACAAAAGAGAGAGAAATAAACGTAGCACCCAGATCACTGTTCGATTTTTTGATGAAACAAATTACAAGAACATTCGTAAAAAAGATCCTGTTCTTCTGCTTCACTGGTGGAAAGAAATTGTCGGCACCATTGTATTTTGCATTGTGGCCACAACTTTTATCGTACGCAAACTTTTCCATCCCCATCCTTACAGCAGAGTAAGTATTTTTTTCAGAATACAGAAGGTATTATTCTAGCCTTTTCGGTTGGTTTTGAGTCTGCCATGAGTAGTATTAATAAGTTAAAACCGAACGAGATAACAAAATCAAAAGCCTAAATTTATTGTTTAATCTATCTGTGAAGGCTGTCAGCTGCCACGTACAATTTGCTGAATGCTTCAGCGCGCCCGTTAGACTGCTTCAACCATATCTGACATCTTCGGAGATACTGACACTGAAATTGTTTAATGCCGTGTCTAGGGGTACAAACTGGTCTCAAGTACTTAAGGAGTTGATTTTTTTTTTTCTTGTTCTTGTTGTGGTAACCCTTGTTAGCTGCGAAAGGAATCTGAAACACAGTGTCAGACTGATAGCAAATATGAGCCCACTTGTGGAGACGTTAAAGACAGCAGCTGGAGCGACGTCAAGAACTGTGGATATGTGTCAAGGTGAGCTCAGTTCGACACCACGTGTACAGGGTTTTTAGTCAGCGTGACAACTAATACTACCTGGAGGAACGAGCAGGTGTTCACTTGTTCGTACCTACCCTAGTCTTCCAGCCTTGCAGGGTAGTCGGCAACTGACACAAAGAACCCTGTCACCCCGCTACCGATGGGAGATTGCGGTTGTGATTAGTCTAAGCAATCCCAGAGCGTCTACCTGTGATCAGGAATGTCGCTGTCATGTTTTCTGCTGATATGTGAAATGGAAGATTGATTCTTGAGGGTCTTAATCAGCGTTTACTCCCTCTGTTTCTGCGTTTATGGATTGAAGCAGAGAAAGGCAGTTGCAGATGGAAACAGATGAAGTTTTCTATGCTCTGCAGAATAAGCAGACTATATTTGGAAGAATCCTTTGTGGCTGTTATGAAGGAGTTGTTTAAGACAGAAGGGTGTGTAGGGGCATGTTACGATACCGTGGAGAAAAGGTGACCATTTCCTGCACGTTTGCAACTCACTGAAAGTAAGAACTGAAGTATTTAAAAAGAGGAAGAAAGGTAATGAGGCTTAAGAACAGTGATGTTTCGGAAGGCATGCTTAAAAGGACTAGTTGCAGAAATAGTTACTTAGTTTGGGTATAGAAACTTAGGCTGCATACTCGTGGTCGATGATCCGGTAAGCACGCAACCTGATATTCTGAAAAAGGTCTTCAGTTTGTCACATGCGTGCGTAATGGATCTTGCTGAGTTGTGACAGACACTGAACAAATGCATAATCAGCAACTGCCCGTTTCATAAATAGGTAACCATCTGATTGCCTCAGTGGGTCAGCAGGGAAAAAAGATAAGAAATGCTGCAAGTCGTTCAGCGTGTTTTGTCTGTACAGAAATATTTCACTCTTCGTTTTTCTGTCTATACTAATGCATTTTTTTCTCGTACCCTCCCTTCCTCCCACCCTTCTCATCCCAGATACCTGACAGATTTTGAACCAATTCAATGTCTGGGTCGTGGAGGTTTTGGAGTAGTTTTTGAAGCCAGAAATAAAGTGGATGACTGCAACTATGCTATCAAAAGGATCCGTTTACCTAACAGGTAACGAATGAGTTTGTTGAGATAGAGCAGTAATGAAGGAATGGTGGGATCCCGTCCTACACTGAACGATCTGTTCTTGAATCTATCATTACCTGATTTCTGAGATGACATTACATTAGGATGAATGACATACTTTTTAATGGGGGGATTGACTTAGTTTTGGCATCGAGAATTTGGCATATGTAATCACAGCAGAAGGGTGACCTGCTTGGCTAAAGTACTTCCATAGCAGGACCCTTGTGAGGATGCTGCGGCTACATGGAAACTCCTTTGATGTCCTTGATGAATAGAACCTTTGATAACAGGACCAGTTATTTGTAGTGCTGTTAATTTGCTTCTCTCCTTCCTCTCCTTACCTTTCCTACTCCACCTTCTCTTTCTTTTCTCTCTCCCTCACCAGCTTTTGTGACTCCATTTGTCCATTTGTTTCATTTTCTGGTCCCACAACCCCTACCTTTTCTTTCAGTCATAGGTGGTCAAGCCATGGTGCTGAATTACCCTACACAGAGCTTGCAGCAGTTCCTTTTAGTGGGAGATGGGAGACACTGCTTCTGGAAATCTCAAGTTAGAACAGCAACAGGCAGGCCAGTAGAGGGAGGGGGTAAAGCTATGAAATCTAGAATTACTTTTTTTTTTTCTTGATGTGTTAAATAAGCGTGTGACTATTTAAGGTTAAAGGTTTTGTTCAGAAATTTAAGGTAGCCTGAATTCTTCTTTTCCAAGCATATTCAAACCCATTAAATAAAACCATCTGGCCTCACTTGATCCATTTACAGTCTTATGAAGAGAGATTTACTTCAATAAGATAGCAGGGGACCTGCTTTCCTGTCCGTAGAATGGAGATAGTCTTTATGCAGTCTCCTTATGTTAATGCCAATTAAAAAAGACATACTAAGGTATTACTGTCTGTCGTCTTTTGTGTCAGTGTCTTCTACATCCCTAGAATATGGCTGTTTAGTGGTCTTTTTTTCTATCCTTGTAAACAGTTGAGAACAAGATCAACCTTTTCTCAGTTTTGCTGCCTGTAATTATTTGGAAAGGGCTGACTAAATACTTAACCATTATGAGCACATACTGCTCCTCCACACTTCTGACCTAAAGGAGTTACTCTGAGGAATTTAAGACAGATCTGTCTTTTGGTGTGAAGAGCAATACTACTGGCCTGGTTTATACTGGGCTAGCTTTGATTAAATTCCTTTGCAGAAATTTCTGTATTATGCTGTTGCTTTATGTGACCGTGTCTCTGTTGTTCTCCTCACCCCAAATCGTAGGGAGCTGGCTCGTGAAAAGGTGATGCGGGAAGTCAAGGCGTTAGCTAAACTTGAGCATCCAGGTATTGTTCGGTATTTCAACGCGTGGCTGGAAGCTCCACCTGAGAGATGGCAGGAGAAGATGGATGAACAGTGGTTAAAAGATGAAAGGTAACTCATGGGGGGTTTTTAACAATTGCATTTGAGATTGTACATCAATGGAACTGGAGAACTGGTAGATGATCCAGGAAGATGGAGAAACTGTGTAGGTATGAGATGATTATTAACTTAGCCTGTCAACTTTTCAGTTGAACAAGGTACAAATATATCACGCTTGTGCAGAGCATATCTCAATTGTTGGGTTCTCAGTTGTGTTAAGGTCCTTCTTTCAGCTTAGGAAACATCTTAAGAATTAAGTTCTTAATTTAACTTCTGTAGTTTAATCTTTGGGTGGTTGGAAAGTTGAAGCATTGCTACTGTGATTGAATTTTAAACTTTGGCATCTCTGTCCAATTTGTTCCTTTCTGCTGCTTTCCTCCTCTTTGTTGTCTTGGTTTAGATGGATCTTATTCAGTACTGCAATGCTTCAATGAATTTATTTCTGCAGAAATATGTGAGGAATAATCAGAGTGACAATTTATAAAGCTTGGTAGAATTAGGTTAAAAATGGAAAATTAGATAAAGGAATTGAAGGATGTTAAGAGAAAGGAAAAAGTGGGTGTATGTTAGCATTTAAAGAATGAGGCCTAATACAAGACTGTTTAGTGGTCTCATAACGTCTTAACATACCTAATAGAATATAGCAACCTTCATATTTCAGGCATCAAATTAACATTTCATAGCTGTAATTCTTTGAAGGCACTTTAAATAGTCAGTGCAACGCATGTTGCAAAGAGGGTGGCAGAGCACTGGAACAGGCTGCCCAGAGAGGCTGTGGAGTCTCCTCTTCTGGAGACATTCAAAACCCTCCTGGACGTGTTCCTGCGTGACCTGCTCTAGGTGGTCCTGCTCTGGCAGGGGGGGTGGACTAGGTGATCTTTTGAGGGCCCTTCCAACCCCTGACATTCTGTGATTCTGTGACTGAATTTGTTCAAGCTGAAGATGAGCCTGATCTCACATTGGGAATCCAGGCAGTAGGGCTTGCTGAGTTTTCCTTTATCAGCACTCTTGTCTCGATGAGAAAACATTATCCTCGCTAAGAAAAATGAATTCTAAATCCTGGTTATTAGTGATTCCCACACTTGGGTAGCCATTTGCCGTTGTGGTGTGACACGGTTCTCAGAGGTAGCAGTTGTTAAAACCTGGACTTCTGAAAATGCATTTCTAGCGAAATGAAATTCTGTAGTATTGATCTCTTGATTTTTGTTCTTCTAGCACTGATTGGCCCCTCAGTTCTCCCAGTCCGATGGATGTCCCGTCATTTAAGATCAGAACAGAGCCATTTTCAACAAAGGAGCATGTTGAAGTTATTGCCACTTCGTCAGAGAGGGAAAGGTCCGTGGGAATACCCTGTGGTCAGTCTGATTCATCCGGAAGCCAGTTTTCTCCTCTGGAATTTTCCGCCACGGACAACAGGGACTTACACCAGTCAGAAGATCCGCTATTAAACCTTCAGGACAGTGTCCTTACAGGCTGTGATGTAGAAGACAGTACTATCAACAATAAAGAGCTGGGTCACTCCGTGGAAATTTGTTCTTCAGCTGTTTCTGTTGTACACCTGAGGGAAGGGACCTCCTCTTCTATTGTGTTTGAGGATTCTGGTTGTGGAAATGCTTCTAGTAAGGAAGGTAGAGTTAATGTTTCACATGATGAGAGTCTTTCTGAGGACAAGGCAAAAAGTACAAAAGAATCTGATAACAAGAAATCTGCTTCAGGAAGTCCCCTCTCTGTTTCTCCACCAAGGCCCACAAGCTTAAGCCTGGACCTTTCCAAAAATATTACAGAAAAAGTCAAACCCGCCTCTCCAAAGGTGTATCTTTACATCCAGATGCAGCTGTGCCGGAAAGAGAACCTTAAAGACTGGATGAGCAGAAGATGCATGATAGAGGAGAGGGAAAGGACAGAGTGTCTGCAGATATTTCTGCAGATAGCTGAAGCGGTTGACTTTCTGCATAGCAAAGGATTAATGCACAGGGATCTCAAGGTTTGTATTCATAGGTTACTGTAGGAAATGTGTTGATTGGGGTTTTTTAAATTTATTTATTGGCACGCTGATCACTGAATGCATGAACTTTCCAAATTCTGGTTGTAACTGTTTATCTCACTGGCTGTGTCCTATAGGCAAATGTTTTCTGGTTTAGTGCTGTGAGATTATCTTCAGAGCTATCATAACTTGAATTACTTGTGCCCAAAGTATCAGACAAAAGTCTCTGGTGCTGTAAATTCCTGAAACACAGGGCCTGACTCAGATGACATCACAGGGTAGCTGTTCTTCCACTGCATTACGAAGTTGAGCATCAGTAATTCCAAATTTGCTAAGACAGCAGTGCCAGGCTGTTTAGCTCAGTGTCAAGTTCTGCTTTAAATTGACAGGTGATAAGTGTGTGGATTACAGGTGAAACTTTCTCATGTGTGGGAGTAATACAGCACTGGAGACAAATCCTGCTAAAATAGTTGACTCTTATCAGTGACCTCAGCTTGGGTGTTACAAAAGGTGTTACAAAAGATGAGTTAATGTCTGTACAATAATCTGGAGGTGCAGTGCTCCAGGAAATAAACATTAATCATTCGTTATTGCAATTAAAGTCTTTCTTACACCAAGGCTTCTTGTACTTGGCGCAGATCACTCGCATTTGTTTTATGGCGTTTTTTATTTCAGGTTCTTTATACAGGGTTGTTCATGGCTGAGCTGTGTGGCAAAGAAAGCTGTTTTGGATCCTGTTCTGCCATTTCAAGTGAAGCAGATAATTTGCAGTGTTAAGTTTATGGTTGAACTCAATCTTAAAGGTCTTTTCCAACCTAAACGTTCTATGATTCTAATTCTGTTATTTTCCTCCTCCTTTCTAGAGCAATACTGCCTGAGAGCAGTGTTGTTACTCCTGGTTAGAGAAAGTAAAAATTAAGTGTTACTGCTCTAGGATTGAAATGGAGTTGAATTATGAGTCAATGCCAACTATCACAACTCAGCTTTCTGAAGGATTCATAATTGTTTTAATGTCTTGACAACATCCAGATGATTAAGGCTGGGAAAGGTAGTTTTTGTCTCTAGTGTTTAGCATAACTGAAGTCAGGAGTAACTTTTTGTGCCTTTTCCTTCATTTTGCTTCTGATCCTGTGTTAGTGCCTGGTCTTGCTGGACCTTTTAGCACTGGAAGAGTCAGTATGTGTTACCAAATACCAGAATTTAATTAAAGAGCTCAGTTAGTCATCTTATTGTAAGCTCTGAGAAACGGATTGCTTTTGCCAAATGGTGAAGAGGCAGTTCCTGTTTCTCTTTGCTTTTTTTGAGGAGGCATTAATACGTACCTGAATGGAGTAAATGATTATAACCGTTGTTGTAGCTTCTCGGGTGGTAATAATTTGGTGTATCAGTAGAAACAAAAGATAAAAATGCCATCTCAGATGTGGGAGTAAAAGGGGATTCAAATTCAGTAACACTGAAAGGATATGTCAAAGTTAGAGAAACTCACAAAGCCATCCAAGTATTTTCTTTCCCCATCAGCATTAAGCAATTACCTTGAACCAGTTATCTGAAAAAATCTTTAGTGCTTGAGAAACTGACCAGAAAAGTAATTAGATCCCTATACTAATATGTTGCTAGACATGTTAATTAATAACCTTTCTTAACAGTCCTGTCAGTTGTAACTCTCTGCAGTCTTCACGGAGATCACTGTTCAGTAAAGCTTACGTAGATCTTCACTTAGAACTGGATTAGTCTTAATCAGCAGTTGCGTAGCATTTTGTTGGAACATCTTAAAAGTTCAATGCTGGCAGCAGTTTGAACAAGAGATTTTATTGTGCTTACTTGGTATAAACAACTTGGAAAGGCTTTCCCTGAACGAAGAACTTCCTGCTTCAGAAAACTTCCATGCGTGTATAGATGTTATTCTTGCATCCTGGAAGTTTATTTGTCTGTTATGTGTTAATTTGGACAAAACAACAGCCAGTATATTTATTTTTTTCCCTATAGTTTTCAGAAGCTCCTAGGAACGTCTCACCTAATTTTGTAATTTGTCCAAGACGTTGGTCACGCAACCCTAAGTTCGTGCCAGCACTAATAAGCAAATAACCTGCAAAGCTGTTTTGTCTTTGCTGGAGGCAGAGCCAGCTGATAGCGGAGGCCAGTTCTCGCTCCCATTGGCACCACCAAAAACTCATTGACCTATATGAAAGTAAATTTGCATGCATGCATATTGAAAGATTCAAGATGATATTTTAAATATTTAAATTAACATTGAGATGCATTAATTAGGCTCCTACTAGTCGGAGAGACCATAATGACAAGATGGCAGGAATTTAGGTGGGCAAGTGAATAGGTCACAGTTCAAATTCTTTTGAAGAAAATGAAGTACAGAAACAGAAGTCTGTCTGTCAAATGAATTTACTGTTATTCCGAGGATAAGCCCTTGGTCATGCTTGACAGCTCAAAAGAAATTACGAGTTTCATAGAACTGCAAGAACAGTCTTAGATACATTTTGCGGCATTAATTGAATTAAACAGTAGTCTTCCAGATGTGCGAGTAGCTTATTCATGTCTGAAGAAAATAGGAATTCTTATTCTGTTTGAAGAATCTGGAGAGAAATTTCTTTGTGCAAGTGGCAAGATAACTAAACTAGAGGGTGGTTGTATTCTGATTTAAATCAAACTTCTGTGCATCTGCCTTAGTCTTCCTCTTTCTGAATGTGGTCTTGATAACTTTTGCTGGCAGTTTGCGATAGCAGAGAGTCCGTTCTCCTTAACTTGTAGAAACTATATGCCAGTCCATTCAGAGACAGTCTGTTTTCAGCCAGAGAAGTAGAAGAAATAAAACTTTCTGATAAGAGGAGTTTTGCTGTGTGAAGCAAGACAGATCTTGTTTGCTGACTTCTGTTTGTTGGAGGAAGAGGGGAGTGGAGGTCAAGACAATGGGATACAAATCCCTGATGGAGATATTTGTGCCTTGAGCATTAAAATTCTGGTATAAAGACTTGTGACAATGTGGGTGTGCCGTCAGAAGGTGGGTGCTGTTTAAATGCTTCAGGGAGAGCCTGGAGACTATGGATTTACAGGGTAGTAGCTTTTGTGCACTAAATGAGTTGTGACTCTGAAGGGCATGACATTCATTACAGGAAAATACCGCAGGAGATAAGGCCTGGCTCAGAAGGCAGTTTTAGAGACAGGATGTGGGCACTGTGGAGCTAACAAGTTAGATATAACTTTTTTCTGTAGTGCTTATCTCAGAGCTGTCTGTTGCTTAAAAAAAAAAACCCAAGAAGCCTTTTTTTCTGTCTTGTTTTCTCTTGCACAGAGTGGTTTTGTCTTTAATTGAGGAAGTCGGATGGATTTTGAAATAGGTCAGCTTTGTAGTCCTTTAATCTTGTGGAAAAATATTGCCCTCTATCTGTCTACCTCCTCCTGTTCCAGGGTTTATGTCAGCAAAGCATGGACCATGTTCTCCCAGCCTTGAAGGTCCTGGAGCTCTGAGAGGAGCCTGCCCAGCACCACTTGCCTCTTTACCACGCCTCAGCCCTTTCCCTGTGCATAATCCTGCTGCTTCTTTCCCTTTGCAGAATCAGCCTGTTCTTCCCCCGGAATCGTGTGTCTGTCTTTATTTGTAACTGAGGTGGAGTGGTCACACTTCAGAGAAATAATCATTGATTTGGTGTGTGCTACTCCATCAGCCAGATGTAAATCTCTTGAAAAACCACCTGAGATATGTACTGTTAGCAGGGGGGCATCTCAGTTCCAGTCCCTTTTATCAGTAGGTTAAGCCAAGGATGGTGGTACATGGCAAACAAGCTAAAGGAGACTTAAGCCAGATCATCACCGTTGTTGCTCTTGTGAACTGCAAAGTTCTTAAGCTTCTGTCAAAAATAAACTTTAAATTCTGTCATGCAACCAGCTGTTCCCACAGTTAAACTGCACAGAACCAGCTGAAAATCAGACCTTGTTCCCAGACTTCCAAGGTACCTATAATTTGGCATTAAGATGACGTGCTCCATGCTGGTTAATGATACGGTGAACAAGCTTAGCACTTGGAGATTAGACTAAAAAAGACCAGGAGTCAGGACGCCAGCATCTGGTGTGAAATTGCCATGTGATGGAGAGTTGGAGAGCTTATCTGTGCAGTTCCTAACAGCTGTTGACTCTTGTGTACGTTACTCAGCCGACCTCCGCGGTGCCAGTAAGCCTCTACTGGATGACAAGAAATGAGCAGTTTCGGGAAGGGAGACTTTATTGCAGGAGTAATTCCTTTTTCCTGAATAGCTAAGATTCTTAGCTGGTTCTGCTGACCTGATGTTTAATGAGCACTTTTAAGCCTTGATGGCATGGCTTATCTGAATTAGGACAAAGTTTTGTATCCTCTGATCCACAGAGGCTTGTTTATTACTTACATCTTTTTTTTCTTTTCCCCTGTTTGTTTTCTTAGCCTTCCAATATATTTTTCACAATGGATGACATAGTAAAGGTTGGAGATTTTGGACTGGTAACTGCTATGGACCAAGATGAGGAGGAGGAGTCGGTACTTACCCCAATGCCAGCTTATGCCAGGCACACAGGACAAGTAGGGACCAAACTCTACATGAGCCCAGAACAGGTTTGTGCTCTCTGCTCTAAAGCTGTATCTGGCAGTGCCTGGGAGACACCTGAATTCCCAGGAGCTCAAAGATCAGGCACTCTTTCTACTAAATTGTTGCAATCGAGTTACTTACATTCTTTCTCGTTGAAGTAGAGTTTCGAGCTGAATTGATTAAAAATGTTAATGTTTTAATACATATATTATAGCAAAGAAGTGGCTAATGATTCGTACATAGATGCATTCATTTATCTTTTAATATAGTAGAAAGAAAACTGTGTAATATTCAAGTTAATTGAGCAAGGACACACTATTGCGCGTGAGCTTTGAGAAAGTTGAAGCATTTTGCTTTGCAGTTGGGTGCGAAAGAGGAGCTGGTGATCAGGACCTTGCTCCCCCCTCCTTATTTGATGAAGTTTGCCAGTGTGCCTGCCCTGCTGTTTTCAGCTCTGCCCAGGGCTAATCGCTTCCTTATGCTGCCTCGAAAGGGCGCTGTTTACGTTGTACATCCTTACATACAGTGAGTAGCCGGAGTGGCCTAACCCTGATTTTGAATTTTCAGATCTGTGGGAACACCTATTCGCACAAAGTGGATATCTTTTCTTTGGGACTGATTCTCTTTGAGCTGCTTTACCCTTTCAGCACACAGATGGAGAGGGTCAGGGTATGTATGGTATTGGATTGTCCTCGGTTTGATCGTTTGTTTAAAATAGCTCTTCGCTTGGTGAAACCCTTGCAAGAGGTTCTTTTCAGTTTTGAAAAAGCCTTGCAATTAGGAGCACAACTTCTTTATCAGCCTTGTACAGACCCCCTGAATCATTGAAAATAAATTGCAGTCTTCCTGATGCGTGCAGTTGAATTGAGGCCTTAATTTCTTACAAAGCTCCTCTGTTGTCAAGCCGAGTAAGAGAAACTATTGAACTAGGATATCCAAGAACTCAAGCAACGAATATAGCTTGTGACTTTAAGCCTGCCAACTTATTTTTCATTCAAGAATTGGAACCATGCTGTGCATTTTTATCATTTCTGCCTTCGTTTGCATCTGCAGTCCTTTTTCACCCAAAGCACTTAGTGGAAAAATTGCTGTTGCTTTTCCTATAGTAAGTGTTAGCTGTGAGTCCTAAGTGGGACACAATTGGAGTTGATGCACAATCTTCCCAGGAACTGGTAACCTTCGTTGTATCAAATATGACTTTGTGAGGTTTGATGGTGCATTACAACTCTTCCTTGCTGTTAAAATGCATATGAGATACATCTTGCGCAGGAACAAGTTCATAGTGAACGGGGACTACAGCCAGAAAGGTTTTCCTCTTGTATATGGTGACCAGTGACCTAAGCAGGAAAGAAAGAGTCGTCATAACTTGTATTTATCGTGTATATGTGCTTTGGGCTTTTAAATGGTAACGTGAAGGTGGGTTGTTTTTAGCAGAGATGTGAGAAGCAGCTTGAACCATACCGTGAATGCAGCCTGAGTGCTTCAGCATTCTCTTGCTTTGGCTCTGGCTTTTTAGGGTACAAAAGAGCATAGTCTAGAGGAGGAATAATAGTGCTTAATTTGAACCCCTTGCGCTGAAACCAATTTCAGTTTCCCTAAATAAAATCAGTTTTACTGAGATACATACCCGATAAAGAGCTGTCCTGGATTCTCAAGGTCTCTTTGCAGCAGCAACTACAAGCTTTGCCCTTCAGTTTCTGTCTCGACTATAGAAGCAAAGCAAGTCATCAGAGTGAATCCTAAATTGCGTTGAGCTCCGATGTTTTCCTTTGTAGGAGCGCCCTGACTTCCATGATTTTCACTGTCGTTCCACTCTTATTGATAAAATCAAAAGGAAACCCCTGCCCCTTTATTGTCAAGTTCTGGAGTTTGGCTATTTTAGTAGTTGTTTCCGAGCTGTTAGGCTGAAGTTTTCACTGGCATCAGCCAAGCATTAGCACCGCTTGCTGAAGCAAAGCACGCTCTGCCTGCCCAGGTAGCCCAGCAAATTCTAGGAATCTGTGACAAAGGGCTGGAAAAATCCCCAGATTTTTAGAGCGTGAGACCGGCCTTTGTCTCAAGCTGTTGGCAGTTAGTCTGTGACAGTGCAATTTATTTCCCAATTAGCTGTTTGAAAACAGATTGCTAAATGCAGACTGAATTGGTAGACAAGGAGAACAGTTTTTTGAAGTGTTTTATTGTCATAAAACTCAGTTCTCTTGAACAGCAGTTTGACTGTTGCCCATCGCTCTTAACTGGCCAGTTTATACTTTCAGCAGAGTAACAGTGAACTGAATTTTGTTTTAACTTTAGAATTCTTATATTCTGTGCTCAAACTTCTGTAAAAGGAGATCCTTCCCGTAAGAAATTAAGTGCTGAATATTGCCCTTCTGCCCTAAAATACTGCCCTATAAACATACTAAAGTGGGTCATGGGCTGCTGGCAATTGCAGAACTTAAGTTCATAAGGTGCCTGCTGGAAAGATTTGTGTGGCTGAACAGGGGAAAATTACTGTCACTAGATGGAGCCAACGTGCTTGGTATGGAAGAAGCACTGAAGGAGACCAGCTGCCTTGTAAGGACACGGAAAAACGCGACGTGAACTGCTTTCGAAACTGCTGATAAATCTGCTCGTTAGTCCATAAACGTTAATTAAAGACCAGTGCTTGCATTGTTAAGATGGAGCCAGTCATTTCATGTGTCTTAATATGGTGTAGATGACCTTGGGGATTATGGGTGGTGCACAGATTTGTTGACTTTGTTGAGCCAAAGTAAGAAAGTGCAAGTTTGTGTATCTGACCGATTTAAAACTTCAGAGATGTAACATGATGGCTGTTGCAGGCTGTATCCTTAGGGAAGCAGCACCTTGCCTATTTAAGTATTTTGTGATTTATTTTTTTTCAAACCACTAAAGCAAGACTTTAAAACAAGGAGTTTTTTCCCCATCAAGCTGATTTGTTTGCAGTTTGTGTATTTTTTGAAGAATAATAAGAGTAACACTACTGAAGAATGGTATTTTGGAAAAGTTACATGTTTTTCTTAATATTTTTGCAGACCTTAAGTGATGTTAGGAATTTGAAGTTTCCACTGTTGTTCACTCAAAAGTATGCACAAGAGGTGAGTATATCTGCTGCTCTTAGCTTTTTCTTTAATAGTTGTAGCTTTTTCCTTTGCTTTCCAGTTGCTTTGCAGGTAAAAATGGAGGGGGGAAAAAAAAGCTTTTGTGTTGCTAAGCTGCATTCCTCTATCTCTGTACTTTTCTACGTTTCAAAGCTTGTAACATTACAACGATGTGGGTGATGATACTTGTGCCACGCAGTTTACTTCCAGTAACTATACAATATTGTCTGGCTTCCCTTTGTCACTTGCTGGCATGCATTTCTCATACATCCTGATGTGATTTCTTGCAACAAGTCTGTATTCGCAAAGAGAGAATGCAGAGTTCTAGACAGGTCAAGGGGAGACTGTAGGTAGCACCACGGCTGTGTGGGATCTCACTCCAGGAACTGGATCTCTCAAGTGGGAAACCGTATGACCAAATTGTGCTGTGTTCCTATTAGTCAGATCTTTAAAGTGCCACAGTTGCAGATGAAGAGGAGGTGATGTACAAAACCTCTCCAATAAAAAGCTGAGATGCTTTCAGGTGTTCAGGGTAGCTCCAGACCAGCAGCTAAAGGAGACTAGCCTTTCTTGCTGTACAGCTGTAGGCTGCCTGGGGGGTTGCGATGTGCTGTGCTCAGCTGGAGCAGGACACTAATTCTGATTAAATTTGAGACAAATATGCGAACTACCTGTATGTTTAAAGGAAGCTTTTGATTCGCCATGAAAAATTACTGTGTGGCTTAAAGCATGGTGGCTTAAACATTAAGCTAAAAATTACTCATAAGTTACTTTTCGTAGGTTTTCATTTTTTTTGATTGCAAGTAATGTAAAGGTTTTCTAACTATTGAATCTGGGGTCAGATTTGATTTGCCAAATTGATTGTAGTCATCCTTGACGGAAGAGACAGTTTAACAGATGGACAGCGATATGGTTTCAAATATTTAATGCACTTGTAGCTACTCTGCCAAAGCACTAACCACCAAATTACTCTGAAAGCAACCGGGGACATTTTCTGCTTGTTCACACAGCCACAAGTGAAGTCGGAACATTAAATAAGAAAGAGTTTATGAATCGATTCATGTAACGCGTGTTTTCTTTTAGTACACCATGGTGAAGGACATGCTCTCTCCGAGTCCCACTGAAAGACCAGAGGCTGCAGCAATCATAGAAAATCCTGTATTTGAAGACTTGGAACTCCCACCAAAACCAGTGCTTAGGCAGAGGTCACGGACAATGAGTCTATCAGGAAACAAGCATTCCAGACAACCAAGCAAATAACTATCCTCAGGATCACTTCTTCCACTCAGCAGGTTTTACATTAGCAGGAGGATCCTATGATGCAGAATGTCTATCTTGGAAATAGTTTACTTAAACTCTTTTTGCCATGTTTAACGTGTAAGACGTGTTGGACAGATTTTAATTTACTTCAACAGCCAACGAAAGCCAGTAACCACACTTTTCACATTCCATTTTTCTTACCTTGACTCTCCTAGGTGGATGGGTCCAGCTACTGTGCTTACCAATGTTGTGCTCCATTAACCTTTTTTTTGGGGGTTGCTGAGTTTTTTTTGAAGCTTGTAAATGTCAGCTTGCTGGGTAAGTGAGAGATCTGTAACATGTAAATAGAATTAAAATACTGTATTTTTATAGAGCAAATTACAGTCTCTAAGCCTAGTGAGTATCTATCCAGATCACTTGCTCTTTGGTGAAATGAAGATGATTTTGAAATGAACTATGACTCCATTTTTGTCCCTGGTGGGTAAACTGGGAATCTGCACTATTTTTAAAGCAAAAAAGTACCGCTGTTGTACATACTGTCAGTCTTCATAGCCAGTCATTAGAGGAAATCATTTCATACTTCTGCACTATAGTAGTAGGGAATGCATTTTATACAGATAAACCTGTAGAGAAGGGAAAGGAGCTTTTTGCCATTAAAAAACGGGGTTTTATAGGCAGTGGTTGGAAGAGCCATAGTAAAAATTATGTACGAAAATGTTGTGATTTTGAAAATTTAAACCTAATGAAGTCATACATGTCGTATGTAATCTTGTAGATTTGTACTTTTTAAAAAAATCGACTGGTAGGCCTTTGTGTAATCTGCTAATTTAACTGCCTAATGCCATGCTTTTATTTCTCATTGTAAATATGTTAATTTTTATTTATAAAATACAGAATCAATCCATTTGGGTTGGTGGTGTACAGAATGCACTTGCCGTAATTGTTGAGTGCATTAATTATTGTGACTTCTTTCAAGTCTAAATGATTTAATAAACTTTTTTATTTATAAAAATATAAATAAATAGTAGTTGCTTCTGTTCAAAGCCTGCATCAGTGCGTGCTGCAGATGGCAGCCTTGTGCGGTTGGAACAGGAGGGTGGGCACTGCATTTCTGTAACTTGCTTTGCTTTCCTGTCTCACACTTGCCCCGGTGCAGGCCGTGATGCAAAGGTGAATATGCTGCTTGGAAGTGAGGTACCATCTGAAGAAAGGGAACCGAGCTCTTCTAAACTGAGTGGATTATGGAGGCAATCTCCCAGCTGTTAACAGAGGGAAGTCTTGAACACTGTTCTTACACTGTTAGAACTGGTTTTGCATAAGTGCATTTTCCTCTTTCACAGGCGTAAATTTTTGAAGTTGTAGTCTCTGAAATCAGTTTAAGATGTTGGATTCGAATCCTCCGGGGGATCGTCGTACTGTGGTGCGACGCTACGGCTAGCAATTAAACCGGCTGATGCTCTGCGGCCTTATGATAAGGCCAAAGTGGATTACAAAGATTGTCTTCCTTTGGATAACTTTCCTAGATACTGGTTTGCCAGATGAAACCAGAATGCTGCAGTGAATATTTGGTCAGAAACAGAACTTTTATTGAGTTTAGCCAGGTTTAAACAGAACATGGTTAAGTGTGTCCTCTTCCCTTGGATGTCCCTGTTAGCATCAGCTATAAATGCTCAGTTAAATGGCCACGTTTGAAGCCTCTCCAGCTTCCCTGCCAGTTCACTGATTACAGATGGAGCACAGGAAATTAAGAATAAGGTGGTTTTAACTTGCTGTATATCTGTGCTGGATGTAAGTAAGTTTCTTTTCCAAGCGCCCTGCAGCATTTCAGTACCAAAAATGGCATATGTGTTCACACGAGGTGTGTCTGCGTGTCCTGGGATGTTACACTTATCCTCAAATGTACAAATCCTCCCCTCTGTGGTGCGTGCCCAACCACAAAAGCACCTGGCCATGCTCAGCACTTAACTGCCTGTGAGCAAAGACTTGGTGAGGCTTTGCTTCTCTCAGCGCTGGATGCTGCAGCGTGTTGTCCTTCTCTTTGCTCCTTTTCACTCCAGACCAAGAAAGTCTTCTCCCTAACCAGAGAGGTTTTCTCAGAACTCAGGGCTTACCTGCAAGCACTTACTTCCCTGCCTCTGGCAGCTCCACTTGCTCTGCCCCCCCCAGCAGTGGAGGACGATGCCTCTCTGTGCTATGAAACACCACCCCCCACCAGCTCCAGGGCTATTTTACCAGCTCTTCAGAACCAGGCTACCCAGGGGGATGCCCCTCCCATGTTGTTTTCCTTCTTTAAGTCAGGTTTTAATTACACTACGCTTCCCTGTTGCATCCTGTCCTTCTGCTGTATGATGTTCTCCAGTCAAGACTGTGAATGGTCAGCCATGACTGAAAGAGCGAAGGTCTTTGGTCTAATGTGCATTTGCTCTATGCTCGCATCCTGGAAGGGAGAGCAATGAAGGCAGGCTTTTCTCAGCTCTGTGCAGATGCCAGCAGCAGCTTTCCACCTTGTCTGTGAGATTCCAGTCTTTACATGATGGCCCCAGTGGTGAGAACACCTGATGGCTCACAGACAGGTTTATTTGCCTTCTTTCAATTTATCAACATCTAGAAACCAACTGTCAGACTGTCTCGGGTTCTTCCTGTGGCTATGGAAATCGGTGTGTACCTTCTCACCCACTCTTTTTGCAGAGGGACACCTGAACATGGAGGCTAGGACAGCTGCCAGCTTACAGCCCTGCAAACAGGAGCTCTGCTCCCTGACTCCGCTGCGTTGTGCGGCACGGCAGTCCTAGCCTGTTCTTGCAGAGGATGTTGCCCATCCCTCAGCTCCCCCCACCCTGTCCCCATAGCTCTTGGGGCTGAAACGCTTCCTTGTCCTGTTTTATTGAAATGAACTGGGTGGCAGAAGCAAGAAACCTGTCCTGTCCACCTTTGTGCCCACTGGACCTAGATGCTTCCCCCAGAATAAGGGCAGGATTGTGTAGTTTTTCTCCTTACCGTTTCCACGTTGTTGGAGTTGTAGGAGCTGGGATGAAGAGTCATTTGACTGGAGTACCAGTGTTGCAACCCCAGGTCAGGGCTGTTCCTTGTACCAGGCTCTTGAGCAAGAAATGCTGACCCTTGTACCAGTGTCTTCAGTAGATGAGATGCTCTGGGCAGTTGCTGTTTGCTTTTTGCTACACTTCTGGGGATGGTCCTCTGCTGCCTTTGAGCTTGGAAGGGCAGAACAACCCAGGACTCTCACTAGCCCTCGCCCCCTTTCTTTTTGTTAACAAAGTGACATTTTTCACCCCTCCGAGTGCCTCAGTCCAGTAGGTTTAGCATTAATCATTAGCCTGGGCATCTTTCTGCTGTGTTTGCTCTGCTTCCCAGGCTGCAGAAACTTTGCCTGTCCCAAGTAAGCGATTGAGCACTCAGGGAAAAAAAATGTTTTGGAAACCATCCTTGAAGTGTTTTATGTCCACAGAGGATCAGTCTAAGAGCAGGCTCTGTGTGCAGTGACCCTCCCCTGTAAACCAGTGTGAGACCCCACCAGAACTGTGCTGGGGGAAGCGATGGCTGTTGTCTGAGCAGTCACCAGCCCTCATGGGACCCTGCTACAGAAAAGCGGAAAAGCTGTGGTCATGGGGGTTTGGCTCCTGCTTTTACTCACCATTACAGTGCTGCAGAGATGTTTGGGAGCAGTCCTGCCTTTCCAAGGTAATCCTTGTGAGGTACTCCATGGCCTGTCTGCAGGGAGCTGGTGCTGCTTGATGAAGTCCAGACAAGCACTTGGGAGTGGTAAAAACAGTAATTTCCATTTATCTTTTTTTTTTGTGGCTGTGTGGTCCAGAAATAGTCTATAGCTACACTCGTAGCATCAAGGCATAGACATCACAGTGCAAAACACACAAGTAAGCAGTAATTCCTCTTCCCATCCCCTCTTTGATCGGTCTTGGTCACCTGTAGCCCCCTTTGAACTCCCTGGGCACTCTGTGCTACAGAGAAATGTGTCAGCAAGTCTTGCTCATCTCCTGGGGTCTGCCACATAGGACATTCCTTTCCAGATTTAATAAAGACACTCACAGAAAATTCACAGAAAGCCACTGAAGCAATGACCTTAGATTTTACAAACAGTAGCCACGCTCTCTATGCATGTA